ATGTCTGAGGGGCATCTTCTTGATGAGTGATGTGGGAGGGCCCAGCCCACTGTGGGTGGTGCCACCCCTGGGCAGGTAGGCCTGTGTTGCATAAGAAAGCAGGCTGAGCAGGGGCCAGAGGAGCAAGCCAGTAAGCAGTGATCCTCCACGGCCTGTGCTCCAACTCTTGCCTCCAGGTTCCTACCTTGGGCTCCCTGATGAACTGTGACCCAGGATATGTGAGCTAAATAAACCCTTTCCTCCCCAAGTTGGTAGTGGTCAGAGTGTTTTGTCACAGGAACGAAGAAACAAACCAGGACAGTTTGCTTCTTAACTAAAGAATAGATAAGACACAGGCGGCCTGTGCTCCAACTCTTGCCTCCAGGTTCCTACCTTGGGCTCCCTGATGAACTGTGACCCAGGATATGTGAGCTAAATAAACCCTTTCCTCCCCAAGTTGGTAGTGGTCAGAGTGTTTTGTCACAGGAACGAAGAAACAAACCAGGACAGTTTGCTTCTTAACTAAAGAATAGTTAAGACACAGGTTTCTGGCTTTCAAGACCCAGGTTCATAATCCCAACTCATTATAATTCACCCACTAAATGCTAGAGAGAGAGAGAGAGAGAGAGAGAGAGAGAGAGAATCTTTCTAGGATCACATGCCCAGTTAAAAAGAAAAAACTGGGAACCAGCAAGGTGACTCAGCAAGGAAGGGCGCTTCTCTCCAAACTTGGCCTGAGTTTGATCCCTGGAACCCACATGGTGGAAGGAGACAAAGGAGCCCTGAAAGTAAGTTGTCCACTGACCTCCACACATGTACCCCCACCCAAATAAATATTTAAAAACTGAAATAAAAAAAAAAACAAAAAGGATGGGGCTGGAGAGAATGCTCAGGTGTTAAGAGCCCTTGCTGCTCTTACAGAGGACCCAGGTTTGGTTCCTAGCACCTACACTGCAGCTAATAACCATCTGTAACTCCAGTTCCAGGGGATTTGATGCCCTCTTCTGACCTCCGTGGGCATTGCATGACATGGGTGTACTTACATTCAGGCAGTACACTTATACACATAAAATGAAAATAATGAATAAGGGGCTGGAGAGATGGCTCAGTGGTTAAGAGTACTGACTGCTCTTGCAGAGGACCCGGGTTCGATTCCCAGCACTCACATGGCAGCTATGAACCATCCTTAACTCCAGTTCCATGGGAATCTGAAGGCCTCTTCTGACCTCCGCGGCACTGCATGACACGGGTGCACTCACATACGTGCATGCAATACACTCATACACATAAAATAAAAATAATAAAAAAAAATAATGAATAAAATATTTTTATAAAGGAAAGCCTGGGAAGTGCAGCTCCAGTCACTAATGCCTAATCCTGCACTTAACTTATAATACCATAGAATACTTTCAGGGGGCCACATTAAATCGGTAGCTAGTGACCTCTAATGTCTATACTAAGAATCAGTATTGTCAAATTGAAAGTCAACATACTCGCTGCATATTTTGAAGGTTTAACCTGCAGCCACAGTGTATCAGGAAGTTGGAATAGAAGCATATAAGTTTTCCTACAATTGTAAAAATTTACCCCTATTCTTATAACGTTATAGTTTAAAAATAAACATAGAGCCATGCATTTTTCATCTTAAACATTCTTTAAACTTCATTTTTATTTCTTAGGATGCAAATAGTCTAAGTATTGGCAAATAGCCAATTGGTCTTAGTTATAAATACCTCCTTTAAAAACACAAAAGAAAACAATGGTTAAAGAGTAGAATTTTCAGGTAAATAATATGAAATAAAGATTGGCTGACACACTTGAGGGCTTTCTTGGAATTTTCCAAATTCAAATATAGCAAACCTTATCACCAGGACCTTTGCTTTAGATGGACTACAGGGAGAAATAGGTTCTTTTAAAAAAACAAAGTCTAAGGAATTAAACAGATTTGGGGAGTTGTGTTTTATAGGCAGCAAAAAGAGGCTACGTGCTTATAGGACCACGGGAACATCATGTCCGTGCCTTTGCTTGTGTGTAATCAGAAAATGAAGTGAAGGACTCTAGCTCTTGCTTTTGAATTTTAGCCTTTCCTTGGTTATCTTTTGGGAGCATTTCATGTTCTATCTAAAATAAGAGTATCAAGGCATGAAATGGTCACACACACAGGCTTGTGTTTTAGTGAAAACTTTTCTGTCTCTGTGCATCTGAGTTGACCAACTTTTTTTAAAGGTAAGTTTTATCTTTCTTCTTACCTAAAGAAACTTAAAAAAAATTATTTTTGGTGTGGCAAGGTGGATCAGTGGGTAGAGGTACTTGTAGGCAGTCCTGAGTTCCATCCCTGGATCCCATAAGGTGGTAGGAGAAGACTGACACCAAGAGTTGTCCTCTGACCTCAACACATGTGCAGTGACACTGGCACATCTACACACACAGAAAAATATTTATTGCAACAGCCTATCTCTGCTCCACTGATCTGGAAAAAAAGGAGAACACAGATGGTATCAACTCAAAGGTACAGAGGCAGATTTGTTTTTAATATTTAGCTATAATTCACTTTTTCTAAACAAAAAAGGCAGATAATATTCTCTCTGAGATAATTTAAGCTTCCCTGGTTTGACTATTCAAAGCCATTGACATAGAAAATCACTTATTTGTTTATAGATAAATAGGTTTAATTTGTTAGAAAATGTCTCTCTAGATTAAAAGCAAAGAAATTAGGGATTAAAAGTCTATTAAACTGGAGGGTGGGCTCCGATCTCCATCAGTGTAGCGGGGTAGTGGCTGTGATCTCAGCAGACCTCTGGAGAGTGCGGGGTTCTGGCCTCCCTCTGGCATTGGGGCTGAGAATGCAGGGGACTGCCTGAGAGCTCCTGGATCCTGCCTCCACGTGGTGTTAAGAGTTTTACAATTTGGGAGTCTTCTAATAGGACCACTGCCTCACCCTGCGTCCCTGTTCAGCAGGGAAGAAGCCAGAGTGATCTGTGTCCAGATTCCCTTACTGGCAATTTGGGTAACCTTTTCAGAGAATGCTGTGATAAGAATAGGAGGTAGGAATTAGCTAGGCAGTTAGGGTAAAAAGACCCCAAAGAAAAATAGCCAGTTTCTTGGCTAAAAGTCACAATGTCCTTGAGCCTCTTAGCAATACATTTAGTTCCAAATGCCAAAAATGTCGAAAGTATTTGGGAGCTTTTACCTAATCCTTGAAAGATTTTAGGGTTACCTCTTCAGAGGGGGGAATGTTAGAGTAGCCAAAAGCCCCGTAAAAAAGTCAAAGAAGAAGAACAAGTACATGAAGTTACCAGAAAAAAGTGATGGGGAGCTATGGGAGGAGTTGGAGGGGAGGGAGTGGGCATGGGTTTGATCAAAACACCTTATATGCATGTATGAAATTCTCAATAAATTATTTTTTTTAATTATTAAACCTTTTTTTCTGAATGATTTTTCAAACAGAAGAGCTCTTAAAAAGCAAGCTTAGTTGACTACATGCTTAATTTTTGATGTCAAAAGAAGAGTTGCCCTTCATGGTGGATTGAATAGATCTCTAGACAGATGTTTGCATTTAAGGTTCAGTATAATCTTCAGTAGAATTCTTACTGGTTCATTTCATTTTCGGTACACCTCTTCAGTTTCAGGCTAATACTCATGTTTGAGCTGTAAGAAGAACCTGCCTCCTTCTTTCAAATGAAACATTACAAAAATATCCCATTTATTCTCAGCCAAGACAGTTATTATTATCCATACCAAGGTGGGTGCTGGGAATCTGCACCATGTGGGTGCAGAGCTCTTAACTGCTGAGCCATCTCTCCAGCCCCTATTTATTATTTTTATGTGTATGCATATATTGCCTGCATGTAGGTAAGTGCACTTATGTCGTGCAATACTAGAGGACAGAAGAGGCTGTCTCATACCCTGGAACTGAAGTTACAGACAGTTGTTAGCTGCCATGTAGGTGCTGGGATTCGAACCCGGGTCTTCTGCAAGAACAGTCAGTGTTCTTAATCACTGAGCCATCTCTCCAGCCCCTCACCTGAAAATTTTTTATACAACCTCCTGTAAGAATATAAATAGGTATATAAATAAAACACTGACTTATAATAAATCATAAATTTGTTTTAAAACAGGTCTTTGGTATACATATAATTTTATCTTTTTAACAGAAAAAACAAATTTGCATACTCATAAGATGGGTGTGCTTGTTAATTTTTACACAAAGAAGTAAATCTTTGCTCAATATTTACTACTATACAACACATAATATCTTTAATGTTTTTCAGAGTTAATTGATGTTTTGCTTTTATTATTCTTAGTGCTAAGAACACTGTTTCACATAAATACAAAGTATGAAACTACAGAAGGTATATTTAGAGCCATTTCAGAAACTGCTGGATATTCTATCCAAATCTCAAGCCAAGATTTATTTAATGATTTTTTTTATGGAATTCAAGTTGGCAACTGAGAGAGCAATTTTAAAAATCAAAACATCCAAACACAATCCAGTCCAAAGATATACTAATTTGATACATGCCAAGGAATTATGGTAGGAAAATATTAAAAAGGTCTCTGTTTTCTGTAATTAAACTGTTCTGTTTCTGTAAGAACAAAAACTGTATATACAGTAAAAATACTGCAGTTATCAGCTATAATAGTTTAAATCTGAGCTGAGGTGTTTCAGGTAGCGATCACTGGCCTTGTGTGGAGTAGTGGCATGGGCACTGTAAAGTGCACATGTGTGTTCAGAACATGCATGACTGCTTCCAGAAACAGCAGGGATCCATTACATATTTGATTTTGAATTAACTTTTGGTCATTGTGCATCTAGAAACCTTTTGCAATTACCAGGTTTTTTGTGACCTCCTCATTCAGTTATGTGACCCTTGTATGGGGTCATGACCCACAGCTTAAAGGGGTGTGCTTTAGACAAGCACATTAGTCAATTCACTATGGAAACGAGCATCCATATAAATTTCCTGGGTAGCAGAAGACAGGTAGTTGTCATCAAATTCTTTGTTGAGGCCTGGAGAGATGGCTCTGTGGTAAAGAGCACTGACTGCTCTTATAGAGGACCCGGGTTCAGTTCCCAGCACCCATGTGGAGGCTAAAAACCAAATGGAACGCCAGTTCCAGGGGATCCAATGCCCTCTTCTGACCTCCATGGGCATTTCAGGATACAGGTGCACTTACATATCTGCAGGCATACACATAAAAAACATATTAATTATTTGTTCAGTGGATTTTCCTTTTGCTGTTAGCAGACACTGTGATTGTCAGGCCTCTTACTGATTGGTTACTTGAAGGTAACTGACTTACCCATTGGCAGGTGCTTAACTTGCAAAGAACATGGACATTTCTTTCCTAAAAGAAAGAAATGTCCATGTTCTTTGTAACATGTTGCATAGAGCAACATTGGGAACTCTATGCTGTACCATTCACACTGGGATCCCAGGAGACCACAGTCCTCACAGCAGAGCAGTGGGCACTGCCTTCCACTGCTGTTCTGAGCAGGAGCTTCTTTCCTGAACACAAAAATCTTACTTAGAAACCACGATGAATTAAAATTTCGCCAGGGAAGTTAACAACTTTTACATTTTCTTCTCTACTTAATAATGTTTCATATAATGTTTGTTTTTTATTAATAGTTTTTAAAGATTTATTTTTAACTATGTGCATGGGGGGGTATGTGCATGTAAGTGCAGGTACATATGGATGCCAGATCCTCCTGGAGCTGGAGTTTAGGCTGTTGTGAACTACCCAACGTGGGGGCTGGAAACTGAACTTAAGTCCTTTATAATACCATGCACTCCTAACTGCTGAGCCATGTCTCTAGACCCCTTGCCCTTTATTAACATTTAAGAAACTTTCTTATTAAGCATGTTATATGCAAAGCATTGCTACTGGAAAAAGTAAATAAAGCAAAGTTTTGATCTGCCACCATCCCTCTCCTTCCCACAGAAGGGCTCTCCAGAGACCAGAAGAATGGAAAGGAAAGGAGCATATTCTAGGGAAAATAGGTTTCCAGTCAGTAGAACGGCTCTCCTTAATTTGGTTTAAAGGTGTCCCACAGTTCTGAGCAGTCTGCTTTTTCATACAACAATCAATGGGCTGAACATCCTTTGATCTGAGTGGCTAAGGTGCTGCTGAAAGGAGGAAGGAGATTAATTCTCTCCCAGATAATTTTGAGTGATGTGGTGACTTCTTAGCTTCCAACCTATGTCTTTCTACTGTGTCATGGAGTCCGACTGCAAGCTTAGAAAGCACAAAGAGGAAAGCCAGCCCAAGGAAACAGCACTTCCATTTGACAACAATTGCACTGCTTTCTTATGAGAAGATCTTTTAAAAAGTCATGTATTGAGATATCATTTTCATTTCTTCAGTAAAAATGCAGGCAATCAATTGATGAGACACAGAAAAAAAGCACTTTACACAATATTTTCTCACAATGATTATACAATTGATATTATCAACAAAAAAAGTGTAGAAAATATTGTGAAACTGGTTTCTTGATTCCTCTCTTTGTAGACCTGATGTGGGCTATCAAGTTGTCACAGACAAAGGATTTACTTTCTCACCAGTAGATGAAGCTTTTGTTTGCCAAAAGAAGAACCATTTTCAGATAACCATCCATATCCAAGTTTGGGGAAGTCCAAAGTTTGTTAAAACCCAAGTGGGCCTAAAGCCAATAGAGATGTTTTATTTGAAAGCTTTTGGAATTAAGGTAAATCTTTTATTAATTCAATTGAATTCAATTGGCGTTTATTAAGTGCTTTAGTTATCTATTGCGACCCAATCCCAATCTCAAACCTTAGTGACAGAGATGATAACAGTAATTTCTTTGAGTCACATATCTACAACTTGGTCAGGTGTGGCAGTGACCAAGCTCATCTCTGTTCTTCAGTTATTTGCTAGAGAAGCTCAGCCAGCTATTTCTAGGATGGCTTAATGACCTGCCACTCAACCTCTATCTGCCCATAACCTGGCACTTGAATGGGACCGTGGCCAGGAAGCCTGAGCTCTTCTCCATGTGGACCTCTCAGTGGGGTGATTTGTACTTCCTCCGAGCATGGTGGTTGGGTGCTAAGAATAAAGACATGGGGAACAGAAGCTGCCACTTCCTGAAGTGTGAATTTCAAATCTGACACAGCATCACTTCAAACTGTAATGTTTGCAGTTTTATCTGCCATTTAATGCATTTATTTTCAATTATTTTATTCTGGCTGATGCTGCTGATGCATTTTCACATGGAATGGATTCACTTTTAACCCAATTCTCAAAGAGGCCTCTGACTTCAAAAGGCCAAAGAACCATCAATTTAGTCAGCTCCCACTTTTTTATAGTTTAGTACAAGGGAAACTGAGACTCAGTGATGTTACACAGTTCATCTAAGATGGTGATAAAGTTGGGTTGTCTATGTTGCATTATCCATATCAAGCATTAATGACATAAAGATAAAAGCAGTAATTTATTTGCGTCCTACACCTACAACTTGGTCAGTCTGGGTATGACAACTCATCTCTGGGAGTCATTAGAAGCTCAGCTAGGCCCCTTCCAAGGTGTGGGTAGCATGATTTCTAAGTGGCCAGAACACAGATTACTATCTCATGTCCAGCTCCTTTGGAAAAGGGATATCCATTATGTACATATTTCATCATATTTCATTCTGATGGGGAATCTGGTGTTAGGTGTGAAGCCTTCTAAAATGGGGCTTGGCTGTTGCAGCCACCAACAACTTTTATTCCCAATTGGGCTCTTAAAACAACAGCAATAAATAAATACAAACAAGCAATTAAGCAACAACAACTAAACATGTTTTTGGATTTTGAAAATGATATGATTCCATCGTGAAAATTTTGGTATGTAATAGAAATGTGTGAAGAAGAGATGGAATATATTCATAGCTAGGCTCCAACATTTGGTAGACTACTTTTCCTCTGTTAAAATGAGTCTTGGACTAGGAAGATGGCTCAGGTAGTAAAAGGACCTGTTACCAAGCCTGATGACCTGAGTTTGATCCCCAGGACCCACATGGTGGGAAAAGAGAACCAATGTGTAAAAGTTGTCCTCTGACCTCTGCATGTATGCTGTGAGATGTTCTCACTCTTCACCCTCCTTCCAAATAAACAATACATCAAAATAATTTTTAAATGAATTGCACATTGTTACTATTTCATTATAAAAATATATTAAGGACTTCATAAAATATCGTTTATAAAGTTGGTAGTTTTCTATTTTAAGAATTCATAATATTAATGACTGCACTATTGGAAATTTCATTTCTGTTTATTTTTAATAGTTCTTAATAAAACTTTAGTGAGCATTTGTGTGCACCCATGTATGCCTGAGGATAAGAGGGGAATTTGATGTAGTTTGCCCATTTGCTTTCTAGAAAGACTGTTCCAATGTGAACACCAACATGCTGGGTCTCATAAGACTGCTGTTGCTCCTACTCATGGAATCACAGGAATATGTAGCAGGTGCAGCAAACCCCAGTTCCTAGATGTTACTTACTTATATTCTGAATTACTATTCTTTCACATTGGAATGTAAGCTCTCCCAGAACAGTTTTGGTGTGTGTGTGTGTGTGTGTGTGTGTGTGTGTGTGTGTGTGTTACTAGGAAACAAATCTATGACCTCATGTATGCTAGGCAAGTATTCTACTCCCTAGGCCCCTTTTTACTCTTTGCTTTGAGATGTAATCTCACTAAATTGCCCAGGCTGGTCTTGTAGCCCAGGCTTTGACCTTGGTGATACTCCTGCCTCAGTTTCCTGAGTACCTAGCATTACAGGCCTCTTGCTCCAGTAGGCCCAGTAATTTTTATTAATTGTATTCACTTTTAAAAATTATAATTAGCAATACATATTAACTGTATACACTAGTGGGATTCAGTATGGTATTTTCATACGTGCACATGTGTGCATTGACCATGTCCATTCTCCATTTTATTCCCTTTCTTTTTTTCAAAAAGAAAAGAGCAAGCAGCTAAGCAGTAATGAGAAGGCTGCCTGCCTTGTTCTTCGTATCCGTGATGCTTAGAGCAGTGTCTGCACAGTAGGTGTGCACTAAGAATCTCCAGAATGAATGGATGTACGTGCCTGCATCCTTGGAGCTGACTCTCTCTTGTGTTTTGCTTCTGATGTTTCCTTCTGCTACGAGCACACTCTATACTCATGTTTACCTAAACTGAACTGTGGTCTGTGTTTTGGTGCTTAGTTCTGCAGACATTTTGTCATCAATAGTACACTGTTACTACACAGGGGCCATTGTCCCATCTGTCCTTTTAGGAATTTGTACCCAGTACCCAGAGCCTATCATGGTGCCTTAGAAAAGTATTAAGTACCTAAACATTTTCTACTAATGAATATTATTGCTAATAAATTAGCTAGTTTATGAGGTAACTAATTTACATTTTGTTTTTCCATACAGGCAGAAGGCACCAATCAGGTGATTGCTATCGAACAGTCACAAGCAGATAGGAGCAAAAAGATTTTTAATCCTGTTAAGTAAGAATTTCTTTTCTGAATATATTGGTGAATGTTTTGGGAAGAAGATTGATATTATGTGTTTATTTGCAATGAAATCGATGGCAGAATCTAAGTTAGTAATAGGATATAAGTATTAATGAACACATGTTTATCAATAAAATAAAGTTGCTAAAATGCTTTGTAGTCATGGGAAAAATATTTATGAAAAAGTCCATTTAAAAACTCATTCTTACAGTCTTTTACTACTAACAACCCTGATAACTTAATTTCTTGAGATGGATTATAGAGGTATCTTTAATTTTTAATTTAGATTAGCACAATGCTAATTGAATTATATTCAAGGTTCTATATTCATGCTGTGCATACAATGAGTTTGTCCTTGTTTTTTATGGTTACTTTGGTAGATGCTAGGATGGGTCCCAAGATAGAAAGCTTGCACGTATGTCAGTATCCACAGCAGAAGTGAGGTCCAAACTTAGAGCACTCTTTCCAGAATGACTTGGAATATACTCTATTACTTGACTTATCTGACCAGGATACAGTTGAGGCAGCTGATCTGTAGTCAGTCCCCCTTGGGGCAAGATGGTCCTGCAGTCTGGACAGAACCACTCATGTAAACTACTGTGCAGACTAAGTACATGAGCAAGTACATCACTTGACCTGGTACACCTGGGTCTCCCTTACCTGGGCAGGCTGCATGGCTTTTCTTTTGGAGGAAGCTGCCTCCTGTTGCTAGGCTACAGAGGTCACATACATGAAGGAGAAAGAAAAACTGAAGTGTTAATGAAGAAGCCAGAAAAATTGAGTGTGAGGAGGAGAGTTCTATCTCAACACAGTGGAGCACAGATGAAAAGGATCCTTCTTCCCTGCTGTGGAGGTAACAGAAACCATTTGTGGCTTATGGAGCACATGGATCTTATGAGTCAGAAACTTGAGGCAGAGCTTCTGCTAGTGAGGAACATTCTGTGATTCTGTGGCCTTCCTTGGTGGACACTCCTAGCCATGCTGTGGATCCTTGACTAATAAACAATAGGATATTCCGCAGTGTGATAAGAACAGGGACCAAACATACTTGAAAGTCTAAGAATGGATTAGATATGATCAAGTTTTGGGTTGCCTTATATTCTCTTGATATTTCTGCTGTTTGATTTAGAATTGACTTGCTGACCGACCAGGTTACCAAAGTAACACTTGGACGACTACACTTCAGTGAAACCACAGCAAACAACATGAGAAAAAAGGGGAAGCCAAACCCTGACCAGAGGTACGAGTGTCACTATGAATACAAGGTGGCCAGACATAATATCAACCAGGAGGTGGCCTCCAGAGCCCCTCTGATCCTCCTGGCCCACCAAGTGGCACACTGGGCCTGCTTAGCTGATTTCCTCCCTTTTCTGACTTGGCTTATTAATGTGTCTCACTCTCCCATAGTTACCTTTCTTCTCCTGTCTTCACTCCCAGAAATGCCTACTTTCCTGCTCAGCCTCGTTCCCTCCATGATTTTCTAGATGAGAGATGGTGCATTCCATCTCATTGTCATCTTTGGTTGAGGACTGACTGCTCTTATCAAACTTGTATGTTGGTCCTGAAACTGCCAGAACCCTTTTTAGTGAAAAAAAGAAAAGATAAAAGCCAGGCACAGTGGCATATATAAGTAATCCCACCACTGGTAGTCAGAGGTAGGAGGATGATGAAGTCAAGGCTAGCCTGAGCTATATAGTGAGACTGACCCTGTCTTAAAGCAAGCAAACCAACAAACAAGATCCCAGATCTGAGTGCCCCTCCCATCTTGGAGGGATGAGTATCCTCTGCCATTTCAGCTCTCAGCCCAGCCTGGGTATCCAGGATTCTTCCCTGCCCCAAACTTGTAGTCCTGAGTTCCATTCCTGAGACTCCCTAGCACCCTGCCGCCTTAGCTCTCAGACTTCCTCAGGTCACAGGGATCCTATCCCAACACGGATCTACATGCCCCTCCAGTCTTGGCTGGGTGAGTCACCCTCTGCCATCTCAGCTCTCAGCCCAGCCTGGATCTCCAGGATCCTTCCCTGCCCCAGACTTTTTGTCTTGAGCTCCCATTCCTGAGAGCTCTCTGTGATTCACTTCCTGAGCTCTGTATACCCCAGACCTGTAAGCTCTCACCCTAATCTGTTTGCCAACCTGTTTACCTAGCAATCCCCATCCCACCCTCTTGATCCAGGACCCTGTGGAGTCCTGGAATCTCAACTCAAAAGTTGCAACTATCTCTAGCCAAACAGAGACTACTTCTTTAACCCCATTTGCACATCGACATAAAGTGTCCCCCAGACTGAACGCCAAGCGCTGCTCAACTGGATCATGGTCTGACAAGTTGGAGAAACAAAGATACAAACAAACATTCAACATTCACTTACTCATACCAAGAAACACCACTACACAAGTTCAGAGGTCCAGGGCGCAGCAAAAAGCACAAACATGAATAACCAAGATAACGTGTCTCCTACAGAAATTAATAACCTTGTTGTAATGTTGCCTGAGAATGACAACCTAGTGGATGCATAAGACAGTGCTTTCAAAATAGTAATCATAAGTATGTTCAAGGAACTCAAAGTGGATATGAATAAAAGACTAAATGAAGACCATGAAAACACTAACAGGTCAATTAAATAACCAAACAGTTCAGAACATTAAATTATAATTAAATAAAGAGAATCTCTGAAGAAAAGTCAATCTGAAATAAAATTTGAAATAAAAAGCTCAGGAAATAAAACAAAAAGCTTAGAGAAAACAAGCAAAAGGGAATTGGAGGAAATGGAACAGAGAGCATCAGATCTTGAAGGCAAGCCCAGGAAAATGGATCACTCAAAGAAAATGTCAAATCCAAAATAACCCAGGAATGAAACAGGAAATACCCTGGGACACTGTAAAAAGTCCAAACACATGAATCATAGCATAAAAGAAGGAGAAGAAACCCAGACCAAAGGCATAGAAAATATTTTTAATAAAATCATAGAAAAAACCCAAATCTAGGGGAAGAGATGCCTATTAAGGTACAGAAGAATATAGATCAAGTAGACAGGACCAGAAAAAAACCCTCCCTGTGTCATAGAATAGTCAAAACACTAAATATACACAGCCAAAGAAAAGGTATTGAAAGCTGTGAGAAAGATCAACCCAAATATAAAGGTAGACCTATCAGCATAACAGCTGACTTTTCAATACAGACTATGAAAGCCAGAAGGATTTGGACCAATGTCATACAAGTCATGAAAGAACACAGATTCCAGCCCAGACTACTATATCCAGTAAAACTATAAGTTGTAGTTGAAGGAGAAAGAAAAACTTTCCATAATAAAAACAGATTTAAGGGATTTATGTCCACAAAACCAGTTCTACAGAGAATACTTGATGGAGTGCTTTGAGCAGAAGAGATTAGATATCCTTAAGCAGGCACAAAGAATAGATATCCCAGAACAGTCAACCAAAAGAGGTCTAAGAAAACAGCACTACAACATCAACATAACACGAATTAATAAACATTGGTTAATAATAAACCTCAATATTAATGGTCTCAACTCACCAGTAAAAAGACACAAACTGATTGGATTAGAAACAGGATCCAGTTTGCTACCTCCAAAAAACTCACTTCACCAACAATGATCAACACCACCTTAGGGTTAAAGGATGGAAAAATGTATTCCAAGCAACCAGAACTAAGAAACTAGCAGGTGTAGTTATTCTAATATCCTATAAAATAGAGTTTAAACTAAAACTAGTCAGAAGAGACAGGGAAGGTCACTTCATACTCATTAAAGGAAAAATCCATCAAGAAGAAATTACAATCCTAAGTACATATGCACCTCACACAGGGCATCCAATTTCATAAAAGAAACTTTACTAGCTCTAAAATTTCACACTGACTCCAACACAGTGATAGTGGATGACTTTAGCACCCTGCTGTCATCAATAGACAGGTCAACCAGACAAAAACTAAACAGAGAAACCCTGGAGTTAAATGACACCATAAATCAAATGGACCTTACAGACATCTATAGAACATTCCACCCAAACACCAAAGAATGCACTTTCTTCTCAGCAGCCCGTGGATCTTTCTCCCAAAATTGATAACATATTAGGACACAAAGCAAGTATCCACAAATTTATGAAAATTGAAATATCTTGCACTTTATTTAACCACAAAGGAGTAAAGTTATGTATCAAAAACAATAAAAATGGGGGAAAAGCACACAACACAAACTATTGAATGAAAATTAAATCATGGGAGAATTCAAGAAGGAAATTTAAAAATTCTTAGAATTGAATGAAAATGAAAACATAACATCCCCAAACCTTTGGGGGCATAATGAAGGCAGTCCTAAGAGGAAAATTTATAACATTAAGTGCCCACAGCAGAAAAATAGAAACATCTCATATGAATAAATCAATGATGCACCTGAAAGCTTTGGAAAAACCAAGAACAAACAACACCTAAAATGTGTAGATGGGAAGAGTTAAATAAGATCAAGACTAAAATTAATGAAATACGAACAAAGAAAACAATACAAAGGATCAATGAAATGAAGAGTTGATTCTTTGAAAAGGTTAATATTGACAATTCTTTAGCCAAATAACCAAAAGGAGAAAGAGAACTCAAATTAACAAACTCAGAGATGAAAAGAGAAACATTACAACAGACCCATAGTAAATTCAGAAAACCTTAAGGACATACTTTAAAAATCTATATTCCATTAAACTAGAAAATCTAAACAAAATGGATAATTTTCTAGACATGTATGGCCTACCAAAATTAGAATAAAATAAATTGTTAAATGACCAATAACAAACAATGAGATAGAGCCAATAGTTTAAAATCTCCCAATTAAAAAGGGCCCAGGACCAGATGGATACAGCGCAGAATTTCACCAAACCTTCAAAGAAGAACTAATACCAATACTCTTCAAATTATTCCACAAAATAGAAAATGAAGAAACACTCCCAAATTCCTCTATGAAGCCAGTATTATTCTAATACCAAAACTGGACAGACCCAACCAAAAAGAAAATTATAGACCAATCTCTCTGATAAACATAGATGCAAAAATTCTCAATAAAATACTCACAAACCGAATGCAAGAACACATCAAAAAGATTACCCACAATGAACAAGTTGGCTTAATCCCAGAGATGCACGGATGGGTCAACATACATAAATTAGTAAGTGTAATCCACCACATACACAGACTCAAGTACAGAAAACACATGATCATCTCATTAGATGCAGAAAAGGCCTTTGACAAAATCCAACATCCATTCATGATAAAAGTCCTGGAGAACCTAGGCATACAGGGGACATATCTCAACATAATAAAGGCAATATACTACAAGCCCATAGTGAACATCATACTGAATGGAGAAAAACTAAAAGCATTCCCCTTAAAGTCAGAAACAAGACAAGGATGTCCACCCCCTCCAATCCTGTTCATTTTTGCACATGAAGTCTTAGCTAGAGTAACAAGACAAATGAAGGAGATAAAGGGATACAAATTGGAAAGGAAAAAGTCAAAGTATCTTTATTTACAGATGATATGATTATATACATAAAGGACCATAAAAACTCCAGTGGAAAACTCCTAGAGCTGATAAATACATTCAGCAAAATAGCAGGTTATAAGATTAATACCCCCAAATCAGTAGCTTTCCTATATACCACCAAAAAACATGCAGAGAAAGAAATTCAGGAAAGAAACCCATTTATGATAGTCTCAAAATCCATAAAATATCTTGGAATAAATCTCACAAAGAAAGTGAAGGGCGTGTACAATGAAAACTTTAAGACACTAAAGAAAGAAATTGAAAATACCAGAGGATGGAAAGATTTCCCATGCTCTTTGGTATGGTATGATTGGATTGGTATAATTAATATTGTGAAAATAGTCATCCTTCCAAAAGCAATCTACAAACTCAATGTAATTCTTCACAGAAATTGGGAAAAATAATCTCAAATTTCTAATGGAAACACAAAATACCCGGGATAGCCAAAATAATCCTGAACAATGAAAGAACTACTGAAGGCATTACCATCCCTGATCACAAATTATACAGAGCTATAGCAATAAAAACAGCGTGAAAACAGGTATATTGATTAGTGGAATAGAATTGAGGACCCAAATTTAAATCCACAGATTTATAGCCACCTGATTTACAGATTTACAGCCACAAAGGAGCCACGAAAACACAGCGGAGAAAAGACAGCATGTTCAACAAATGGCGCTGGTCAAATTGGATAGTGGCATATAGGAGAATTAAACTAGATCTTTTTCTTTTACTTGCACAAAACTCCACTCCAAATGGATCAAGGACTAATCATAGACTCAATACCCTGAGTCAGATAGGGGAGAAATGGGGAATACATTAAAACTTACAGGAACAGAAAAGGACTTTCTAAACAAGACTCTTAAAGCAGAGCATTAATTCCAACATTTGACAAATGGAAGCTCATGAAAACAAATTGCTTTAGCACAGCAGAGGATATCATCATTCCAGTGGAGAGGCAATGTGCAGAATGAGAAAAAAAAATCTTTTCCAACTATATATCTGACAGAGGGTTGGTATCTAGAATATACAAAGAACTCAAAAAGCTAAACAGCATAAAAACCAAACAACCCAATTAAAAAGTAGAGCAAGGACCTGAACAGGGAGTTCTCCAAAGATGAAATGTAAACGGCTGAGAAAATTTTTTTTAAATTTCAACATCTATAGTCATCAGAAATGCAGATTAAGACCACTTTGAAATTTCATCTTACCTCACTCGGAATGGTTAAAATGAAAACAAGCAAACAAACCAATGACAAATGCTGTCAAGGATGTGGAGAAAGGGGAACTCTTGTCCACTGCTTGTGGGACTTCAAACTGGTGCAGCCACTATGGAAATAAGTGTGAAGTGTCCTCAAAAAGCTTGAAATTGATCTACCGTATGACCCAGACATATAACTCCTGGGCATATACCCAAAAGACTCTATACCCTGCTACAGAAATACCTGCTCATCCATGTTCATTGCTGCCCGTTTCATAATAGGCAGAAATTGGAAACAACCTAGATATCCATCAACTGATGAATGGGTACTGAAGATACGGTGCATATACACAGTGGAACATTATTAAGCTCTTAAAAAGCCAAAATTATGAACTTTGCAGGTAAATAGATGGAACTGAAAACAAACATCCTGAGTGAGGCAACCCAAACCCAGAAAAACCAATGTCTCATGTTATCTATCATAGCTGAATGTTAGCTTTGAAATCCTAGATATGCATGTTTCAATTTGAAAATCCAGAGATGTTAGGAAACTAATAAATGTCCATGGAGGAGGGGGCTATTTCCTCGGAGGGGTGGTAGAATGTGATGATGTGAAAGGGGAAAGGGAAATAATAAAGTAGAAAGGGTTAAATGGGCTGGGGAATGGGAGGGCAGGGCAGAAGAGGGAGTATGAGTAAATAACATTAAAGGCCTTTAGAAAAAGCCATATGGAAACTTATCATTATAGAAACCTCTTAAAGTATATGCACATATATTATAAAGAGATTAAAAAGGCTTACCTTATAACAGGGGGACATTGCCCCTACTAGACACTATAGGCTAACAAAAGAAAACCCTTATGCCAGGAATGGATTCCCTTTCCTGAAGATGTTGACCAGGGGGTCGATAGACCGTCAAACAATACTAGCCATTATTGCTGCTCTTTGTTACCCACCAGAATTTCACTATAAGACCCTGTTGCTGAAGAAACTATATATATAAGCTGTAAAACAAACAAGGGGAACTCAAGCTGGTGCTGACTTCAGAGCCTCATCTCTAATGGTTAGTGCTGGAAGGTGCAGTGCATGCTACCAGAAGGGAAAAATAACCATCAACCTTGCCCAATTGTGAATCCTGTGAACTACAGCTACAACTGGCATGGCAAGATACTGCACCCATTGGTATAATAATGGCACAAACATTATGGGAATAACCGACCACTCTCTAATTGAATTTTAGGTCTGCTTCCTAGGATGGAGCCCATACCTGACATTGATATCAGGCTTAGGAACCTGAGACTAGACAGGTCACAGGACATAGGGGAGAGCCTAATACTAGTTTTCCTTTAAGCAGTTATCATATTAAACTGACTCTTAATGACTTATTGTTATACCCATAGATTAATATTATATCTCTCAACAGAGAAATTTCCTTATGCAGCAGATGATGATTAACACAGAAACCCTCAATGGGCCAATGTGTAGAGAACAAAAGGCTACAGGCTGTTTATCTCTGAGTAGGATACCTATATCAAACTTCTGCTTTTCAAGGCTCAGGGATCATTATGGAAGAGGGGGCAGAGAGATTGTAAAAGCCACAGGGAAACAAAGTTTTCCAGACAGCTGGTCAGTTACTCATATGAACTCATAATAACGGTAACAGCATGCACAAGTCCCATGCAAACTCAAACCCAGAAAAATGCCTACCTGAGATTCACAGCTACATCTACGTTGGCTTCCTGGCTTCTGTTTTATCTTTAATAAGCTACAACGCTGCAATGGGGCGAGGAGGGTGTGGCCTGGAGTTCCAGCAACACTACAAAGAAATTTGACAAAGTGTTTTTCATGCAGTTTTTAAAGCCCAAGCTCCAGGGATAGTTCTGGTTTTGACTTTAAGAGTAGTCAAATCTTTGAACTGTCTCATTGGTGGTCCCTGTGAGGAAGGTGTTTAAGTAGCAGTGATGAAAATGCCTTGGGAGCAATTGGAGGGAGATTTCATCATCAGCTACAATCAAGGTCTGGGGACTTTGAAGGTGCAAAATGCCAGGTGCAGGTCAGGGTAGGAAGGAGCTAGGATGGTGGGCAGAACCTGCCCCATCCCTATTCTTTAAAGCCTAGGACATGTGGCTTGTGCGGCTGGGGCTTGTGTGACTATAAACACAGGGACCCTGGTGGCTCTGTCTTGTGTCTGTGGACAGTGCTGCAGGAATGCAGTAGGACAAGAGAGGCCTGGTCAGGTCCACACAGGAGGGCTGAGTTCAGCCCCACAGGAGCTCTCCCCAGGAAGGCTGCTTTCCTATTGACTGCCAAACAGCTCACAGACACACCTGGAATAGGAGCAAGCCAATCAATTGCACTGAAATAAGAGGGAAAAGGCAGTCTTTAAGGAAGCAAATTCATCTAGGTGAGTTCATGATTAATGGATGTTAATGATTAATTGATCGCACTAATTATGTCTCTATTCCCTGATGCACTGGCATTACTCTGCTGTTTTTGAATTAGATACTTCATGTTGGTGGTTGGATTGTATGCTGCTAACCAAGACCAGTTCTACCCGTTGGCTGCCCACATCTCTGAAAGGATCATTGTAAGGGTAAGCTCAGTTTTCTGAAATTTTTTTTTTGTTTTGATCCCATATGCTTTTCTCCCTTGTAGGAAAAATTTGAATTTTCAGTGACATACTTGAAGTGTGTTATTTCTTAACTGATGATGATGATGATGATGATGATGATGATAGTAATAGAAGAAACTATTATTTCAATTTTATACTGTGGTTCTCAATCAAGGGCCCTCGAGAATCATTTGGCAATATGTGGACACATGTTTGGCTGTTACAGCTGGTGTTAAGAGACTAGAGATTGCCACTTAACACCTTACAATGTTCAGGACAACCTCCCCCACAGAGTATTTCCTCCCAAAATGCCCATGGTGCTGAGATTGAGAAATTCTGGCATTTGCTCTCTGTTCTGGACTTTGAGCTAGATATCCATATATGACACCATTTTACACTGATGATACATTTTCATTACGTTAATATTCTTTATTCCCAAAGGGAGGGAGACAAGAAGCTAACTCATCTATGATCACATAGCTTATAAATAATGGAGCCTCTGTTTCAGCCCAGTTCTCGCCAACTCAGAGCCTGCAGAGTGGAGGATAGTGCCAGGAAGGTTTTCCATGCCCCCGAATGACTGGTGACCAGGGTGTCTGGGCCATTGCCTCACACATAGGAATTGCTCAGCACATTTGCTCAGTGGTTACAGCTGTGGATGGGCATCTTGGCAGTCATGAGAACATAAAGCTACTCCAGCTGTAGCTGCAGCTGTGAGTCCAGACTGGCTACCACTGACAATGCCAGGGGCATGAGGTAATAGGCAGCCCTGGGTGAGGCTGTGTTGTTACAGGTTTTTGAAAGTGACCTAGAGAGGAAGTGAAACTCCACTAAGGAAAAATCATTCACTGTGGGCGTGGCCATTGCTCACAGCTCCACCTTGAGGCCCTGGGGACAAATCTGCCTACATTGGGGAAGTGGTCCCCCCTTGCCTGCTTTGAACTGTTCAGAAACAAAGAACCCTCTGTAATTTTTTTAGTTGATAAAAAATAATAAGCCGCCGATTAATGGAAACCCTTCAGTTACCTCTCAAAATTTTACTGGAGGTGAAGTAAAGACAAATGAGGTAAAATACTTGTGTGTTCAGATATCCCTTGTGCAGGTCAGGCATTCACACACAGGCTGTTTTTGAATAACTGAAGACAAATGAGCCTCCTCCTCGATAAAGGCAGGCATCTGGGGAGGGTGGGCTCTCTCCCTTGACCACAAGCCAATCACAGAGGTGTCTCTCTGTCCCTCACAGGTCAGGGCCATTCTGAATATCTCACTTGTAATCTGGGATTGTTTTGCCTTGTAATCTGATCTGAATTCAAGTCTGGAAATTGGGCTGGTTATCGTTTCTGATTCCTCTTCAGAAGGCATGGCGACACTGCTTTTCTCATCCACGTTAGCATGGACTAGTGGGAATGCCAGCCAGCCAGTCTGTGAGTTACCTGCATCCTTTGAACAATCCACCTGCCAGCAGGGCTTCTTCAGTTGCTGCTGGCGGCTCCTGCAGCGCTGTGCAAGGCCACGCAGCAGGCTCTGTTGTGGGAAATGTTAACCTTCCCCTCCACATAGCCACAGCACCAGGACAGTTAGCGATGGCTCTGGGAAGTTGAAAGTTTCTGTAATTCACATTTGGTCTGGCATGAAACACATTAAGTTATACTCATATTGGGTGTCATGTTATTTACCCAATTTTATTTTAAAAACATGATTTATCTCAGAGACGGTAGCTTTCTCTTAGCTATTAGATTTGGCTAAAGAGAACAAGCTGTTGTAGACATCTGCACGCACAAACTTACCCTAACAATGATGAGCAGAATGATGGCACAGACAAACCGTTCACACCCCAAACTAGAAACATCTTATTGATATTATTTCATTCTAGCCCCCAAACACAGACACAAAAGTGAATATGGATGTCCTAGTCTGTTTAAATGACTAACCAACCAAGAGATTTTAAAAAAGGGAATGTAAGAAATGGCATTATTATTTGATCAAATGTGTTTTAGAATTGTCCGCAGGACGTTTCCTGCCCCTGACACTCTAGAAGGAACCATCAAGGTATGGTATATGCATATGAGTTGATCCTACATCGTACCCAGGAGCCAACTGTGGCCTCTGAGGCCATGGCCTCGTTCTGTCAGGTTGAGTGCAGAAGAAAAGGAAGAAAAAAATAATTAAAGGCATTATGTGGCTTGATCACATTAAGGGTGGAAATGAAAGCTGCACTTAGCAAATCTGGATTTGTTCTGTGGACTAAGAACCACTTCTCCAAACGGTGAAGACACTTCACTATTTGATAGAAGCAGGAATATAAGGACTGCACCTTGGGATTCTGGCCTCCAGGATATGTCCACTGCATTTGTCAGAATTCTCTTTGGAGAGAGAATGTAGGAAGAAACCAGTAATTGTCCATCTGGGTTGTCAGTCGTAACAGCTTTAGAAATATACTATATTCCTGTGGTGTAAATGGACTCATTTAATGGAAATTAAGGTTTTCTCCAATGAACAGATTTCTTTCCCAAGTCTTTGATTTTGGGAGCACCCCCCAGTGGAGCTCCTTCCAATTCCCCTTGTTAATAACCAGGCTTTCCTTCAGGTCTACTTTCTTTCAAAAATACTTAATTAGAGCTGGTTTGGAGTGCTGCATGGCAAGCAGGAGGGACAATTGCTTTTGTTTGCTTTTCAAAGACACTCTAGGATTTCCTCCTCTTGAGAATGAATACATTATTTCAGTTTTTTTTTTTTTCAGAGGAGTAGAAATGGCCCCTCCCAGAAATTCTTGTTTTCATCAGTAAACCACACAGAGGTAGAAATCATCAGGGGTGGGGGTGGGGGGAAGACGAGGTATTTGCAGAGCAGGGCCATCCTGGGTAACAGCTCATTTTTTGACCACAGACCTGCTTTCCTGCTTTCCTTCTACACACACACACACACACACACACACACACACACACACACCACTGTTTTAGAGGTCAGATGAAATTTTATTTTCCCAAAGAAATCAGTTCGTCAAGCAATGCCTACTTCACTCTATAGTTGGAACTTTTCCACTATTGAAGGGGTGACTCATGACCAACACAATGTGAAATTAAGAAGTAGTTTCTCCAGTCTGGTGTGGTGACCTGTACCTGAAATCTCAGCATCTAGGAGTCAGAGGCAGGAGGATCTCAAGTTCAAGGCTAGGAAGCATGACCATTTCAAAAATAAAAAAATTCTCTGGGATGTTTGTGTAGACACAGAAAGCTGAGTCCAGTCCCGGAGTTTTTGAAAGAATGCCCAACAATAACATGCATTTCGAATAAGCTCCTGGCAGCTGCCAATCCCCAGATCTGCAGACCACTACTGGAGAGCATCTCTGGGTCCATTTTTACAACTCTTTCAAAAGGTGCAAATTTTGTTCCTTAAGAGATACTTGCCTCAAGTCAAGCTCTTTGGCTGTCTTTTAGACGCAGAAAGGTAAAAATGTAAATTCCAGCTTTTCATTCCAGATTCAAATTGCTTCTGATGCTGTTTCCTATCCCAAGACCTCCAGGGGGCACCCTTTACATTGTATTCTTCCAGAATGGAGTCCCCAGGGCTTCTGGGATTCTGCCTGTGGGTTGATGAAGAGAGCAGATTAAGAGATTATGCCGTGACTGCTGTCTCAGTACAGAGTGTTGGGAAGAATTTGTGACTATTTACCCTCAATTTTCAGACTGTTCATGCACACATAATTTTACTTCGTCCCACAATAACCTTCTAAGATATGTAAAGACAACATACTTATGTTTATTCTTCAAGGATGATGCTGGTATAGAAACATAAATGACTGCTCCAGCATCATGCAACCAGTTGGTTTCATAACCTGGACTAGAGTGTCCAGGTCTTCCCTAAACATATGAAGCCATGAGACAGAGAATATTTTATTTTATTAAAAAAAATATTTTATTTATTTTTTATTTTATGTGTATGTGTGTATTGCCTGCATATACGTTGTGCAATGATTTGCAGAGGTCAGAAGAGGGCATCAGATCCTGGAACTAGAGTTCCACATGGTTGTTAGCAGCCATGTGGGTGCTGGGAATCAAACCCAGGTCCTCTGGAAGATCGCTGAGTTGTTTCTCCAGCCTTGAGATAGAGAGTATTTTAGAAACTTTAATGAAATAATGTTGGTATTTGATAACTGCTGTTGGGCCTCACATGAATAAAAACTTGTAATTCTGGTTAGAAGTAGCTCATTACAGTTTGCTTTGACACATGAAGACAGGGATTCCAAAGATGGAAATAAATTCATAGATCTTATAATAACATTTCCTACTCACAATGAAGACCCCTTCTTGGGTCCCTTTGTAGATCTGTGTCCCTTTTCAAAATGATTTGTGCATATTTTAGGGTTTTGGGTTTTGTCTGATGAAAAACTGAAAACGTTGCAATTGTGTCCCCTCCCAAACTGCTGACATCTGCTGTTTCAACGTGATAATAATTATCCCCAAGCTCATAAACAACAACAACAACAAAAACCCATTACCGTCCTATTTTGTTTACTTGAAATGGCTCATTATGTACAGCAGAGACCAAAAACTGCCCTACCTTGAGATTTAGTTGATTGCTCGCCATAAAAGAACTTGAGTCAAAGCCAATTTACCATTCACATAGGAGGGGGCTCCAGGGATCTTGCAGAAAAAGCTTTTGTTCAAGTGAATTTATACAGAACAATCTTTAAAGCTGTTACTTTGTGTTCTTCCACAGCATTTGTCTAGGAAGTGTCAGTGGAGAATTTAAGAGGCTCAGGTTCTAGGCAGGTAATGATAAAATAGGAAGTTTGCCGGGCGTGGTGGTGCACACCTTTAATCCCAGCACTCAGGAGGCAGAGGCAGGCAGAGCAGATCTCTGAGTTCGAGGCCAGCCTGGTCTACATAGTAAGTTCCAGGACAGCTGGGGCTACAGAGAGACCCTGTCTCAAAAAGACCAAAAAAAAGAAAAAAGAAGTTTAAGAGAAGAGTTCTTCAACTGAAGCCAAACTAAGAGCTAAGCATTTAATTATTTTTTAATGTATAACACAAGCATATGGAAAACATTCAAACAATACCAAGAAAGCATTTAGTGAACAGTGACTCTCCCTCCCACCCTAGTGTCTAGGTCTCCTAGGACAAGCTGCTGTGATAATTTCTTAACCTGTCTTCAGGAATAAACTGCATTTTCAGATGCTGAGTTTACAACATCTTCTGAATCACCAAAAAGACAAAAAATGAAGTCACTGTATTAGCTGCCTGCTCAGGTGGTCAGGATCTGAACTGCTTGTCTGGATTCATGGCAACCTGCTACAGCATAAAAAATTGCATTTAGAAGAATATGTAGTTATTTTAAAAAAGAAAATTAATTTTGTTGTGATGAATTTGAGGGATTTGGAGATCCTGACAAGATATTTGGAAACACATTCAGTAGCTGTAGGGAAACGGAGGTATGCAAAGCAAAGCAGTAATCTTTGGTAAAAGAGTTATTTAAAAGTAAAATCTGCTAGGCATGGTGGTGCACACCTTTAATCTCAGCTCTTGGGAGGCAAAGGCAGGCAGATCTCTGTGAGATCAAGGCCAGCTTGGTCTACATAGCAAGTTTCAGGCCAGCTGTAACTAAGGGAGTCACTGTCTTAAAAAAAAAAAGTAAAATCTCAGCTAGTGTGCTAGCACACACTTTTAATCCCAGCACTTAGGAAGCAGAGGCAAGTGTAGCTCTGAGTTCAAATCCAACCAGGTCTACATAAGTAAGTTCCAGGCCAACTAGGACTACACAGTAAGACTGTGTCTCAAATGATAATAATGATAATGAAATAATAATAATGAAGAAGGAGGAGGAGAAGTATAAATCTTCAAATTTTGATTAGTCTGATAGTTTCACTTGGATTGTTTTTGAAGACCACCAGGGCTACTTCTAGGCAACACCATGAAATAGCAATGTTAGAGTCATTACTTAATAATCACAGGAAATGTAGTGCTAGAACTGAGTTGCTATGTGTTCTTGGGCAATTTATTTATCTATTCAGAGTACCAGCATCAATAAAATGTACATAATAGTGCTTATATAGTAGAATTGCTGTGTGGATTAGCACACAGAAAATGTAGCTCTTATTATTCCTTCTCCATCTGTGTTTGGGGAGTAGCTGAGGTGTATTAAATATATTTGTATTATTATTTGCTTGTCAGTTACATGTGAAACCATAAATATAAGCACATTGAAATTATAAAAGACTAGTTAAATGCAAGGCATTTCTGCTTATCTGAGCTTTAAAGAAACTTGTAAAATTTTCCGGTGAGTGTTCTGACTTTATTTATTTTTTTTTTTATTATTCCTGAAAAGAGAGTTATCCTTAGCTTTCCCCCTTACTTTTTAAATTATCCACATATTTTTTCCTGAACATAGTTTTTCAGAGAAATGCAACAGAGACTGGATGGTCTCAGTCATGCACACAGAGCTCCCACTGCTGAGAGGCCTCCTGACTCTCCTGGGGTTCCAGAATTATTTGGCTATGTCAGAATGTTCCACACAGTGTAAGAATCTCATGGAAAGGACCCAGAGATTCTGCTACTGTAACCTTAATTGTGGTATATTGTATTTTTCCAGGCTTCCAACCCTGGGCAGTTTGAAAATGACAGTGATGTGTTATGGCAGCGAGGACAAATTCCAGAATCCATCATCTGTCACAGTCGAGTGGGAATAAACACAGATGCACCTGATGAAGCTCTAGTTGTTTGTGGCAACATGAAAGTGATGGGGACCATCATGCATCCCTCTGACAGCCGGGTGAAGGAGAATATCCAGGAGGTGAGCGTGGGACCGGCCACAGGGCCCCTCCTCTGGCACCTTAGTCAAGTGTCTGGGGCTCCCAATCCAAGACTCCTGATCTGGGCATGTTTATGTGTTACCTGCTGGTATGAGATGAACACGTTGCTTGAAAATGATGATGGTTGGAGACCTTGGGCATCCCTACTTAAATGAAAAGCTGTTCTACCCCCAGAGGATGAGTTTGACAGGAACAGTGGGTAGTGGCAGCTGGTCAGTGGTGTCATGGGCAGTACCCCTCAGGTATTTCCCATAGCCCATCGCCTTCCTTCCCTGCTTGGCACCTTCCGGGGCTCACCTCTCTGTCTCCCTGCTTGTAACACTGCCTCTATCTAGTTGCTGATGAGATTTCTCATAGACCTCTCTAGCCTCTTTCTCTCAGGGTCCCCAGTACTGGCTCAGCTGGCCATTGTCTCCCCCAAGCATCATCTTTGAGGAGCATTTGAGAAGTTCCCCAACAAAAGCCCCTATTGAGGTTCTGGGTGAAGACATTTGCCCTTCTGTGCACAAGCAGTTGCATAGTAAAAATCAAATCCAGTGTAAAGATCAGAAGCCCACTCCTGCACGTGGGATTTCCCTGAGGACAGTGCGTTGTCTGGCTGAACTCGAGATCTCCAAAAGGGGCCTTCCTGACCCTCCATAGCCATTTTATTTTTATTTTATGTACATGGGTGGTTTGCCTACATGTGTTTACACCTGTGCATACAATGCCTGCCAAGGCCAGAAGAGGGTGTCAGATCTCCTCTATGTGGGTGCTGGAAACCCAACCTGGGTCCTCTGCAAGAGCAGCCAGTGTTCTTAACCGCTGAGCCGTCTATCCTCCAGCAGTCATTTTATTTGTTAAGCAGGTGAGATAATAGTGCAGAATCATTTTGGAACGTTGCAGCAGCTCTGTGGGCTAAGATAATTAATACAAAGGGTGAGCCTGGAGCCAGGCCAATCTGGTTCCAGGGCCCCCACCATTCAGTGCGTCCCACTTAGTCCTTCCCCCCTCCCTGCCTTCTCACTCAACCACTACTCATGAAAACATTTTTGAAACTGTGACAGAATTGTGTTTTTAACCTTATTTCCCCTTCTTTCTTTATTCCCTTTTTAGCCAATAGGAGATCTAATCTGTTAACGTTAGCTTTTCTGTTAGCTTTCCTCCAGACTGCATTCCTTTCCCAGTGCAAATCAGCCCTGAGTTTTCTAAAGTGGCCAAGGAATGCCCTCGTCTGCGAGGATTCCAAAGAATGGTTGTAATTGTAGCCTTTCACACTGCTTGCAAAGCTGTGGTTCCTGTAAGTGTTCTGTGACTTCCTAGTTGGAAAGCACTTCAAGACTAGAAAGTTCTCATGTACAATTCCAAATATTGGTCCTAGATTTTGAGCTTTTGAATTTTAGAGAGACATAGACTGCCTGCATTTCGGGCCATACTGTTTCAGACATTGTTTCTGGCCACATACAATGCCTTACCAATCAGGGTAATTTGGGACTGTCCTGCACAACCTCACATGCTGTTACCAGTCTAACACAGAACTTCATTTACCAAAAGTCATCAAATTTTGCTCCTTGAATTAAAGAAAACATATTGTCTTAAAATAGAAAACTTTCCTGGAACTTCTCAAATTCCCTCTAGGAAGCCTTCTCTGTATAAATAGTCATCTCCCTCCTTCCCATGCTCATCAAGGAGTTGAGGGGAAGTCATTTATCCCTCCTATCCAATCAGTAGACCTTAGCTGCATGTGGGGGAGGGGCTAAGGATATATAAGCTAAAACCCCCAGGAGGCACCTCTCTCACCTTTTTCTGTGGCTGCCTGAAAGTCACAGGATCCATATTTGTGTGTGGACTTTCCAGTGCAGCCGTAAATGGGGGGGCACCCACTCCTCTGTAAATAAACACCCACCCTATGCTCTGTTAAAAGAAAAAGAAAATGATAGGTGTTTGGCTAGATAGATGAGAAGAATCTGACTAGACCGCAAATGGATGAACTTGCACTGGGGAACATCTGGGGACACTGACTTGACACAGTAGGCCTTAACACCCAGGACAGAGTATATGGATTCCAGTGGGGGGGGCAATGGGAGGGTGCTGGTAGGGACGAGGCTATAAAGATGATTCAGATTGTTTGAGATATTCTGTATGAAATACAACAAAATTTAATTAAAACAAATAAAAATAAAATGTCACCTCAACCCAGATTCTAAATGTGATATTCTCCTATGCAGTTCCTGCTCACAGGAACCCAGGGAAATAAAGAAAATCATGGTCTAGGCTTAGAAGGCTGGAGATTTTTCCTGATATTACCAGCTAGGCCTTTAACCCAGAGATGTTCCAGACCTCTAGTTTGCAGTCCGTGACTAGGGAAGGCCAATACTCAATTTATCCAGGGAAAGGGATTTTTCCAAGATCATGTGCATGGGAAAATTTCTTGCCTATATAAAACTACCTAAGTATATATTAGGGTTTGTTGTTGTTGTTGTTTTGTTTATTTGTTTTGTCTTTTTTGAGACAGGGTCTCCCTGTAGCCCCAGCTGGTCTAGAACTCACTATGTAGACCAGGCTGGCCTTGAACTCATAGAGATCCACCTGCCTCTGCCTCCCGAGTGCTGGGATTAAAGGCGTGCACCACCACACCATACTTTTATTTACACAAAATACGTATTATATGTAATATATTAAAAATGACTTCATCTTAATGTTTGTCTTATGCATATTTATGAAATATATATTCCTAGAACTTCTGACCATCCTATTTTCCATTTATTCAGAGATGAGAGAGATGATGGTGATGTCATTGATAATGCTGACCTGTGAACATAACTTCATCTTTTGCTGATTCATTTTTTCCAACTTTTTATAAGAAAGTCTTTCATATTTTCTAGAAGGATGACTCTTGGACTGTTGTGCTGCTACAACAAAATACCATAGGCTGGGTAATTTATACATAATAAAAATGTATTCCTTGTAATCTAGAGGCTAAGAACTCCAAGATTAAGCACTGGAAGGTTCAATGTCTGTTGAAAACCTGCTGCCAAAGAGGTGCCTTGAACACTGTTCTCATGTGGTAGAAAGGCTGGAAGGGCACAAAGGGGTCTGAGCTAGTTCCTTAAAGCTCTTTAATAAATTAATCCATTAAGGAGTAGAGACCTCATGACTTAATCATTTCCCTAAATATTTTAATACCACCACAAGGGTCATTGAGTTTCAAAATAAAGTTTGGAAAGAAGAGGTAAACCGTCATTCAAAGCATGACAGTGACCTTTGGTTGATCTGACTGGATGTATAGGACTGGAGGATGCCTGCCAACCAGAGCTGGCTTCTGCATCAGCTATCACAAAATGCAGTGGCCAAGCATGTTACTCAAGACTGTCATCAGGGAAAATGAGCAGAGGTTGCTATCTTGCCCTGACTGTGTGTCTCCTCCCTCAACACCACAAAGTTGCTTTGTGGAGATTAAGTACATGGGTGTCCGCATAGAATCCTGGAGATCTTTGGCATTCACCCAAGTGTGTACCCAAGACACAGAGATGACACAGGTGTGGCTGAAGCTTATGCAGCTAAAGCACTGGGATGATGAGGTTGACTAGAGTGAGAAGCGGCTTTACCTACCTAGACAGTGGCACTGTATCCACTAACGTAACTGCAGGCTGGAGGGAAAATGCACCTCAGACTGGACACCGAGCAGAATCAGGAGGAAAAGACATGCTGAAACCCAAGGACCCTGAAAAATAGTGATGTCAGTGCAAACTAGAGGAGGGGGTGGGGAGAGAAGAAGGAAGGTGGGAGGAGATTGGGGAGGAGGCAGAGGAAGAAACACAGGAGGAACTTGAGAGTTGAATGCAGCAGACAAATTCTGTGGTAAAGGCTGAAAAGGGACTGCAAACATTTAAATGTAAAAATCCAGAAAAAGAAATAAGTTAATATAAAGACTGGCAGGTTTTGTTTTTCTCCTAACCATACCAGCCAGAGTGCTAACTTTGGTCATGTCAAAAACTTGAGACGTGAAACATGAGAATTCTCCCTCGGGGTCATGAGCCGCTGAAGTTCTTCAGCCTGGGTGTCATACATGTGCTATGCCAGAAACAAGCACCTGTGTGGCTCTTTTACCTGTGCATCATTCCACAGTGTCAGAATTCATTAAATAGCAGTAAATTCACAAGGTATGGTAGTTTCAAAGGCAACAATATGCCCAATAATCCTGCTTTCCTTGGTGATCTGGCCAATTCTTGACTGCTAAGCCAGCATTGCAGAACTTAAACGGCTCCCACACACAGGAGAGGAAGCAGTCACAAACATGAGAGTACAGGAAACAAGAAACCTCATGAGAACAAGCGATAAATGAGAAAGAATGAAAAATGTTCAAATCAGTAAACCAGTAGTCTCCTGAGATGAGTAAGGGAGAGAAAACAAAACAAAATAAAATAGCAAAACCCAGTCAAACTGTATTCAAACCAGCCAGGAGGAGGGAAAAAAAATAAGATAGGAATCAGTATCTGTTAGTAATAACTGACTGTTAATGATTCCAAGTTTTTAGTTAAAAGATGCAGACTAGCTTACTGAATCAAAATCAAGATCCAACTGTTTCTAATACCTTGTATGTTTTTAAAAAATAATAAAAAAGAAATCAAATCTCAAATAACTTAATGAGGAATTTCACTGTTCCTATTGGGAAAAAAAGAAAAAAAAAAAAAAAAAAAAGCTCAGGGCAGACATTACTGAACTAGAGACTGAAAGAACAATACTAAGAATCAATGAAATGAACAGTTGCTTCTTTTTTTTAAATTTTATTTATTTTTATTTATTTATTTTTATGTGTATGCATGTATTGCCTGCATGTAGGTAAGTGCACCCATGTCGTGCAATGCCCGCAGGAGTCAGAAGAGGCTGTTGGATCCCCTGGGACTGGAGTTACAGACATTGTTAGCTGCCATGTGGGTACTGGGATCCGAACCCGGGTCTTCTCCTAGAACAGTCAATTCTTAACCACTGAGCCATCTCT